GTTTGAGAAATTTATGTATGAACTATGTACACAGTAAACCCACAAAAAAGCAGAAATGTCAGCAGTCAATTTACTACTTAAGACTTTAAGCTACTTTTATGTATGGGACATTTAATTAGTGGGGGGTGGGAGGTACTACTGTCTCTAATATATTTGCAGCTTTTTCCCCCACTCAGATTTATAGACAAAGGTGGAGGCAATATTTTCAACAATATTTCAGATTTTTTTAGCCTAGTTTTTATTTTCTATCAGTAAAGCTGGCATTTAATGAACCATTCCAGACTTATTTCCAAATGGTAAGGAATGAGCTGTTTAATAATTGCTAAGATGTGTCTCTCAAGCTTCCAAAACCATATAGCTTTCCCCTTTGTCTCTTTTTTCATGATGAAAGTTTTAGTGACAGTGCATTAAACATCTCAAGGCAGAATTGTCTCCCTTTAGAAAGAGAAAGCAATAAAGCAGGTTAGACAACCTTATAATGGATTTGCAGCTGTTCATTAGTTGATTCATTCTGAAGCAGGGAAGCTCGATTGATGTAAGCTTCTGCTTGAACTGGGTCATCATCTTCCAAATACAGCCTGGCAATTTTCAGGTAGGTCTCAAGTTTATAATCTACATTGTACTGCCTGTAGAAGAAAGAAAAAAGCAAGTCTCAGAGTTGTTCCAGAACTACCTTTGCTCCTAGCTGCTCTAACATTTGTTATGATTCTTAAGCACTGGGCAACATTTGCTTTACCCTGCTTTCTTCTTCCCTACTGCCAAATTAGTGCTTTCTGTACAAAGTAAGGAAATTTGAACTGAATGCCAATACAGAACTGGCTCCTGCAAACACCACTAGAAATAATGATGCCCACAAGACACAAATGTACACTCTCATAATTAGTTTTTTCTGGAGTTTGCCACCAGTGATGAGCCACTTGACTTAAGAATCAACCTTGCAGTGCAACATATAGGTGCAAAACAGGCAAAACCTACAGCAATTCCTTCTATGTGCACAATGAGAAAGGGGAAAGTACTGACAGAGAAAACTAACTGCAAGGGTTCTACACCTAAAAAACCCAAACAAACCAAACTAGAACAAACCCCACCTCACAAACGCACAAAAAAATCCCCAACTGCATTGGTTAATATCCAAATCTGGTTTCAAACTATGTCTTCATTCTGAACTGAGAAGGTGGACACACTGAAAAACTGCCACCTTCCAAGGACTTTTCAGTAACTTTTAGAAACACTTCCACAAAAGTACTATTAAAAAGACTTGTTTATCAAGAAGAATAATTAATAGTGGGTAACTTCTGGTGCAGCAAACCCCATAATTCTCACTTGCAGATCTAGTTCAGTACAGAGAGGGCAGGTACAGCTACCACAGAACTGGGTATAACATACTTTTGCCCAGTTTCCAAAGGGATCCCCACCAACACTTGTGCTGCATTTCTCCAGTCTTCTTCTTTCTCATAGATTGATGCAAGATGTTGCCTTATTGAAGCCACCTGAAAGACAATAAAATCAACAGCAAAAGTAACCTTTAAAGCTTTTATAAAGATTAAACAAATCTTTCAAGAACCGGAACACCAAGAATCACAAGCCATTTCTTGCAGCTACATCTCAAATCATGCCTGTGAAGTAGGAATGAGGTGATGTGTGATTAGATCCTAATGAAGAAACTTCTGCTTTGGAGAGCAGCTGTCAGCAGGTAAAGTATTAGTGCTTACAACCTGGGTTTTTAACTGGAAGTGTGGGTAAAAAAAATCATCTGATGTGTTGGATTTAATTTATGCATAATGAATGAATCACATGATGAATCACATGCAAGCCTGTTTAGCTCAGAGTAAAAGCTCCTTAAAAAAAGACAAAGCGAAGCAAATAAAAATCATGGCAGAAACTGCCTTGACTTTCTACTCTAATAATAGATCCTAAGGCCTTTTTATATAAACAATTTCTCTAAGAACTCTCAGATGATACTATGCATTTGGACAACAAAACACAGAATTGAACTGACAAAGCAAACCAGCATATTCAGTAGTTAAGCAGAATTGGATTCCAAGAAAATATTTTTTCCTGATAAAATGATTATAGCTAAAATAAACACACAGAGAAAATTTATTTATTTTGAAACAAAAGCTATTTTTCAAGGTGCATGCTCTTCACACCACCTGTTCTACTGCTCAGGTAAAAGACAATACAGTAAGTAGCAGCCTATCTCTCCAGACACCTCCCCCAGCTCAAGAACTGTTTCATTGTAACAAGCCAGTTAGGGAGGCAGAGGAATTAGGTGTCCATCACCATGATGAAGTGACAGCCTGTAATCTTTGCACAGTCCTAAGCGCTCTCTGCATTTAGCTCAGGTTTTCCATATACAGGACTGAAAAAACAGACTCTTAAGTAGAAATAGCTGTTTTGAGCAGCTTTTTGAAAGGCTTGAAATAGTCAGCAGACAAGGAGGGGAAAAACTAAAGCCAAACCCACGAGCCAAAACCCGTCTCACCACTGATCTCTCACCTGTTCTTCAAATGAAATCACTCTGGGCTGTATCTTTTCCAAGGTGAAGTGGTAAATTTCTTTGGCTGTGCTGTCAGGAAGACTTGGAAGATGTGTACAGAAATCTGTGAGCAGCTGCCGTGAGATCACCAGACTGACATTCTCATTAACCACTGGTTCAGAGATGCACAGAAGAAAAACACAGAATAGATGCAAAATTTTTCAGTGCCTTCACTACAGGTAATAATCTGCTTTTACATTGAATTTGAATATTTAAATTTTAAAAACTATGCAAGCAAAGGGGATTTTTTTCTTTTTTTATAAAGGTGGGTCTTTCTTTTCTTTCAGAAACTGTTTACACTAGAGGTCACCAGACTTCTAATCCCTGACAGATAAATTAATTTTTCATCTTGATTTATAGTCCTCAGTTGCTGAAATATCTTGGACAAAGTACCTGTTTGGACTAAAGCTCACTGAGCTTATTCTCAACTTTAAAAACATTATAGCAGATATAATTTACAGAGATGTTCAACAAGCCAGACACCCAGTACAACACAAAAAAAACCAACAAAAACCCTAACAATTTCTTGGCAGTTTTACAAATGGATGAAGAAAGAGGCTGTCAGTTTAAATACCACTTGGCATCCAGTACAAACTTCAGCACTCAAGAGAGACTGCTTTGTTTTCACCTTCCACTGTTGACAAGATGGAAAGCTATAATAACCACAAAGCTTACAAATCCATTCCCTCTTCACTTCTGGATGTGGTGATGAGGGTTCCTCTTCCTGTTGTGTCTGAGTTCCAACAGGACAAAAGTACACTGCATTTACACAGTCTCATGTAGAGCTAACAAATACAAATACACAACCCCACACAGCTCTGGCCTTCACCACTGTACAACCACTCACACCACTTATGCACTTACTTGCTTCTACAAAAGCTTTCAGAGCTTCAAGCTGCTCCACACCCGACAGCTGAATGGCTTTTTCCAATATTTGACGGTACCTGTCCATAAATAAATTTTTAAAAGGGGTTAAAAACCACACATTTTTTCACTAAGAACTTCTGACTCTCTGCGTACTTTCTATGTCAGAGCCCTATTTTTGCTCATATTTCCTATACCTTGAGATGGCAATTCTCCAGTTTGCTCCCAAGTGTCATGAACATTCACCTGGAACTGGTACTTGGCTCTTCTTAAATCCTGGGACTAGATTCTCAGATAACAGAGCTCAATAATTTTGTTATCTAAGAACATACGTGCAATTTTGTAAGTTTAAAATAAGAATAATAATATGCCCAGGATAGCACACTGAAAAAATAATGAAAACGGTATTGCTCATAGATTCAGATTAATCAAGGTAATCAAACGTTCAAAATGCCATATTCAATGTGACTGAGAAATAGTGTTGTGATAAATATTGTTACAGCCATGCGACACCAACACAGGTGTACCCCACGTGTTTTCAAGAGTTTATGCTGCAAAAACCACTAAGTTGTGTTTCATTGTTTCAGCAAGCTAATGAAACTTTTCCTCAGTGTGTGTCAGACTGATGAAGCACTACATCCACGTGGAAGCCACATTTTGAGGGGAAATTTTGGAAGGTTTTACACGAAAATCCTACAAGTGACACAGCCCCCCTAGAACACAAACAACTGGGCAGGGAATCAAAGAATTCCAGGTGACAGATCCGCTTCTGACTGCACTCTGGGAGTGAAAACCTATGTGACACACCGCACCACGAGAAGCTCAACCTCTATCCAAAACAGGCACCTAATGAAAAGGTAATAATTCTTCACAGTAACAGGAGGGTCGCTGACACATACACGGCAGCAGAGGAAAACAAACTCCCCGGCCTCTCGCTGTGGCACACCCAGGGGCAGCAGCAGAGCCCTGAGGGAGGCCGAGCGGACACCTGGGAGCCCGTGAATGAAAAAACTACACAGCCATGAAGTGAAACCTTTCTGTATCCTTTTTTATTCCAGAAAATGCGGCCGATGGAAATTACTCACCCTCACGGCGCCCCCTCACCCCACACCCCGCGGGCGGCTCGCACCCCTCGCCCCAACGCGGGGAGGCAGCGGCGGAGGCGGCCGGCAACTCACTTTCCTGCCAGGTCCTTGTGGGAGCCGCTGGAGTTCATCAGCTGTGCCAAGTCCTGCCTCACCGCGCCCGCCGCCATCTTGGGAGCCGCCTCCTCTCACCATGGAGCCGCGCGCGCCGCGGGGGGAGCGGGAGGGGGGGGTGTCGCGTCACGTGACGGGGGAGCGCGCGCAGGCCGCAGGAGGAGAGCGAGCGGGCCGGCCCCGCGCGGGGTGGTTGGGTTGTTGGGGATATCCCACGGAGATATCCCACGGAGAGATCCCACGGAGATATTCCCACGGGATTTCCACCGCGAGTGGGATGAGGCCGGACCGCCGCCGCCTCCTCCTCCACGGTTGGCACCCGCGCGCGGCCCCGGAAGCGGACGGCGGGGAGGGGCGGTCCCGGAAGCGCGGGGCGCTGCGCCGGCGGTTGCCAGGGCGGCACGGTATTATGGGATGCGGCGGGGGAATGGCGCGGGGCGCGTGATTTTGAACAAACGCGGCGGCGGGATTGGCGCGGGCGCGGCCGCCGCGGCACCGGGGGCCGCCGGCACTGGCGAGAGGCACCGCTAGCGAAGGAAGAAGAAGAGCGCCCGCCCGCCCGCCCGGTGAGTGCGAGGGGCGGGAAAGCAGCGGCGGGAGGACGGGGAAGGGGGCGCGGGCACGGCTGACAGCCACCTCCCGCCGGGAAGGAAGAGGCCCGGCCTCGCCGGGCGCTCTCCCCGCGGCGGGCCGGGCTTCCCAGGATGGCACGGACAGTCGGTCCCGGCCGCCTCTCCGCTGCGGGGATGCCCGCCTGGCGCGTCCCCTTCCCGCCGCTCATCGGGGTCAGCTGCGCCCGGAGCCGCGGCGGAGTGGCGGCTCGCGGAGCGGCGAGGTTCCTCCTCGGAGCGGGGTCTGCGCGGGACCCGCCGGTGCGGAAGGGGTTGGGATTCGCGGCTCGGGGGCGGTGCCGGGGCGGGGCGGCGGGGGCAGGTGCGGCGGGGGCGGGAGCGGCGGTGACGGGCTGAAAATGGCGGATCTTTCGAAATGCGGCGGCGGCTGCCGGCGTTGACGGGCCCGGGCCGCTCCCGCCAGGTGAGAGCCGGCGCGGGGGCAGCGGCCGCGCCTGCCGCACCGCGCGGGGCCGGCGGCCGCCGGGGCTCGCCGCGCTGGGCCCGGGGTTGGCGGGGCCCGACTGCCCCGGGCCGGGGACAGCGAGTCGGGCGGCTCCGGGGCCCGGCTGCTCGCCGGCATGCGCCGTTCGGGAAGAGCGGGGCGCGGTCCCGGGGGGTGAGGACGCCGCTGCTGTGTCAGCGGGATGCGCGCTCCGGCTCTGCCCCGCGGAGCGGGTGCGGTGCTTCCGCAGCTCACTCTGTGCCAGGGCGCAGGTGTTGCCTGAGCCTGCGCTGCCCGGCTGTGGATAGTCCCCAGCTCCGAGAGAATGTGTCCGCTTCTGGTCTCCTCAGCACAAGAAAAACAAGGAACTCCTGGCGAGGGCCCAGTGGAGGCCACGGTGAGGATAAGGGATCTGGAGCATCTCTCCTATGACGAGAGACTGCGGGAGCTGGGCTTGTTTAGTCTAGAGAAGACTGATGTCATTAATGCATATAAATATCTCAAAAGCGGGAGCCAAGAGGATGGTGGCAGAGTTTTTGGCGGTGCTCAGCAACAGGATATGGATAAATTGCTATAAGCAAAAACACAAGAAGTTTCACCTCAACATGAGGAAGAACTGTATGTTGAGGGTGGCAGAGCATTGGAACAGGCTGCCCTGGGAGGTTGTGGAATCTCTGTGGTCTGTGTCCTGTGTCACCTGTTCCAAGTGGCCTAGTCTTGTCAGGGAGGTAGGACAGGATCATTTCCAGAGGTGCCTTTCAAACTTAACGACTCTGTGAATGTCGCCAGACCATCTTTTGGGTTAGTCCCAGTTTTCTTGTCACCATCTTGCTTGTTATGAGGTATATCAGTATTCAGATTGTTTTTAATTGTTTGTGGCTTGAATTTGAAGCATGTCATGTGTTAATTATGCTTGATATTGAGGATTTGGGTTCTGGAAAGCCTGTGACATTGAGAGCACATGAAACTGTCCACTGAAATATACTGTAATCAGGAGGAAAGCTCTTAGAATTAAGATGTCAGGTGAGGAAAGGACAGATATTTTCATTACCTTTCCTTAGTTTCATCCTTCTGAACAGTTCCTTGAAGTATATTAAGGTTACTGTAGGAAATACTGAATATAGAGAAATGACTTGAAGTGTTCTTTGCAATGTTTACATGAAACTGGCAATAACAATCAGGTTACTCAATCCTTGAGTATGTGGTTATCTTCTTCACGATAGCTGTTGGCATATTGGAGGCAAGAAGAATAGTAGGATATCAGCTGAATATATTTCTTCTGTCAGTGGAATCTTTTTGTAAAATAAAATGCTTTAGACTTGTGTTTTTTTCTTTTTAAATTATCATTTGTCAGGATAATTTGGTTTTGGATGTCTTTGTTCCTGCCTGGCTCCTTCATCTGGGCTGCTCTTGCAGTTATCAGTTATACAGATGTTTGCTAGCACAAGGAGGGAAAATGGATGGAAACAAAAAGGCAGATGCAGAAGGCAGACAGGAGACCTTTAGCAGCAGTGCTGGCATAGAGCACAGAAGGAGTTGAAATACAGGGAAAGTAATGCTGCTACTCGTGTACACACAAAGTAGCAAATGATGGTGTTTGAAATAACTGTGCAATAAAGGTATTGCTAGGATATTGCTCATACTAAGTCCTATAAAATTGTAGCAGGTGCTTTTTTTATTAGTGTATAATTATTAGTTCGTTGGCATATAAGGTGTTTTAGCTTTTGCTTTTCCTTTTAAAATTATAATGGAAGCATAAGTGACTCAGAACTTGCCAAGGGAAAAAGGATCTCTTCATAAATTGTATGTGGACAAGTTTGTTTGTTGGTTTTTTTTTTTTTCTCTATCCAGTCTTAAAAAGAAATCCACTAGCACCTCTATTATAAACATGGCAGTGGGAACATGAGCTTAAGCTATCTTCCCATGGGAAAAAAATGAAACAAACCCAGAAACCTCAACTGTGTATTAGAAAATTCTCATGTACGTATCATTTGACAAGTGTCAGTTTAAACATGTAGGAGTTGCTAATTTGTGTACCTTGCCCATTCTTCTGATCTGCTGCACACAGTTGTTTGTGTGGTGTCTCAGGCAGCGAGCACTCACTTAGCAGAATGTAGAGTAATGGGAAGGGAATGGTGTGCATTGGTTGAGGGAATTATGGTTGCCTTGGGAACTATTTTGTGACTATAGATGGTTAATTTATGGTAGAACAACAACTGGTATTAAGTATTCCTTGTAACTGTTGGAAAAAAGACTGGATACTTACACTGGTTGTGTGTTCAGCATTTGATAAGGAATAAGGTTGAGTTTTTTTCCTTCCTATTGTTTGCCATTGGTATTGTATTTTCTAAACCTAGAGCTGTGATCCTTGGGAAAGCATGCAGACAAACTGCCTCCATGACTTGTCTTATGTGGGCATTGGGAAAGAGAATGGAAATTTTGTCTGTGTTCCACATACATATTTTGTTACTGTGTTAAAGCTGTTTGCTTTCACTCTGCTATTACATATGCAAACATGGTGAGTTTGCAGTCTTAGGTGGTTAATTTTTCCACTTACCCATGTTAATCATAGCTTCCTCATGGATTCATCTTTTTCTTGTTTCATGACATGTGTTTTATTAAAGCATCTCTAGCTTAGTAAGCTTAAACAAAAGCCTCTCTGTTGAAAAAACACAGTGCTGAGTGATTTTGTAAATCTTTGCTTTATGACAAAACAAACTTTTCGGTTTTAGAGACAAAGAATAGAGTGTCAGAGAGAGTAAGAAAATGGGGAATGCCTAAAATGAATGACACTGTTTTACCCGTTATTGGAAAAAATAGCAAAATTGAAGAATGGCAGTTAATTAGGGGAAATGTAGTACAGCAAGATCACCTGCGTGCAATTGTGCTCTTTCATTTGACAACATGCTAGCAGAGCAGGGTGAGTTTTTATTATATATATACTTCTGTGGAGGCTTTTCTAACAAATGAAAGCATGTCTGGTGTCAATAGTTTCTTAAGAACTGCATTTCCTATTTTTTCATGTTCTTTGTGAATTTCAGTTGCCTGAAATAGTTGATGTGCTTGTTTGTATTTGTCAAAAAGGGATATGAGAACATGGCAAATACTTAGATTACCTAGCCTGTTCTTTAGTTTGTTTTGCTTATAAAAGGATTTGTTTCTCTAAGATTTAATTGTTTTCCTGTTGAAATCAACTTAGGCAAACAAGTGACCTTCACTTTCTAAACTGTGACTTGATTCTACTTTGCATAGGTAGGTGTTCTAAATCCTTTGCATTAGCAAGGAGTCAAGAATCTCTGGGAACTATAAACCTTGTGCTTTATGCATTAATCTTCTCCTAAAATAAGTTTTCTCTTTGCTGGGAGAATTCCTGGACCATTAAATGACCAGTGGGTGTTTTTTCCATTTGCAGAGATTAGTTTTGGTGCCAATAGTGTGAACTAGTTACACTGCAATGGCCAGCAAGGCTGTAGTCAGTTTTGCAGTCAATGATATTGGCAAAGTTTGTCACTCTTGTTTCTTGTGGGGGAAGAAAAAAAAAAAAAAAACCAAAAAAGTGCATTTCCCCAAGAGAGAAGCAGAAAGTAGGCAAGAGGGAGGCTACTTGTGAATTTTTACCATTTGGAATGACTGGGAAAAATAAGAGCTCATTCTTTGTTGAGCAGGAAGGTGAGTTTTGATGTTATGTCAGCAAAAAGAAGTAGGCTTAATAAAAGGTTTTGACAAATTGGATGTCCTGGATTCCTAACTAAAATTCTTAATGACATTGATAAATGTAGATGATATAAAATTTTACAGAACGACATCCCATAGTTATTTTCAAGTTTTATTGCTGCTGCTGAGTTGGTTTCAATTGACTGTACAGTTTGACACAGCTGTTTGGGTGTGTGTACTGAGCTGGTTTGTGGGAGAATTTACAGAGTGACAGCCTGTGATTCAGGTGTGTCCAGCTCTTTGTGGGTGTGTGGTGCTGTTCACTGTGTAGTGATGAACTAGGGCAGCTGAGTCACACAGAGAACCAGCCAAGCTACAGGTCAGCTCCAGTGTCCTGCCATATGTTAATCAGTGTTAAGCTAGAATCCTCAAAATTACGAACTGACAAAAGCTGTCCAAAAAAAAAAAAAGTTGACAAAAGCTTCTTTTGTATATACAAATTGGGTTTAAATGTAGTAAAGAGCTAGATCTTGCTACATTAAAAAAAGCCAAACAACTTTTTCCATGGGAAAATACAGTTAAGGCTTTGCATACTATTGTTTCTTCACTTAGTAATTCTGAGAAGGAGTTGAACATTCTAGATCTGTGTCAAATCGGACAGTGTAGTGTTGACTTATTCATTGGGTGGTTGAGCATATCTGCCATGAAAATCAAATTTGGAAGGGTATTCTGTAAAGACAGATTTGGGGCTTTTCTCAAGGCCTGCTGCTTGTTTAGGTTGAGTATTAGGAAAGGGTTCTTCCCCCAGAGAGTGATTGGGCGCTGGAATAGACTTCCCAGTGAGCAGCATGGAGGG